CATAGAAAACATATATATTGTGCTACTACGATTACGTAATTGTGGACCATCTGTAATCTTATATATAATTAAATTATCTCAAAATATTTTATAAATTAAACTATGAATCTAATATTAAATCAATCATATAATTATAGAACTCTATTACTGGCAGGTTACAATATATTTAAATATTTAGTGGGCGTAATATATATTTAAAAATTTGCCCATTAAGTCATATTGACCTTGCTATATTTTTTTTATTCAATTAATTCAAAAATAAATAAGAATTGTAATTTACCAAGATTTAATTGCCATAATCAGCCTGGGTCAATCGACAGATATCGAAACTATGTCATCTTTCTATCCTCATAGTTCGCCAATAGAAGCATTTATTTGGTGTCCCAATAATCGATCCCGCCATACAATATATTTTAGTGCTTTCATGACCTTTTTCGCCATGGAAATTATTTATTTTTTCTCCTCATGACCTATCACGCCATGAAAAGCACATATATCTTTCGTGATCCTTCACGCCATATTATGCATTTTAGCAAAAAACAAATTCTTAGTAATACATATAACCTTATTAATTTTTTTTCTTTTTTCTAGATCTAAATTGAGATAGTTTTTTCAAACCTTTAGGTCTCATCAGCGTTATTTTACCATATGACGATGTTATATATTTAGAGATTGGTGTTAATTTATGATTATTTGCTACAGCTGTATATTCCTTTATAAATTTTAAAAGGGATACCATATCATGTTTATTTAAATCAGAATCGATATAATAATCTCCGAGTCCAATTACTGCTCGTTCTAATTCTTTTTCATAGTAAAAGACTTGGTCGATTATAATGGTTATAAATGTATGCAAAGGAACAACCTTTTTTATCATCATCTTTAGGACACTATTCATTAATTCACTGTTGTTATTAGTATAAACTTGTGCTATAAACTTGTTCTTTAAAGGTGTATACACGTATTCATAAAGTTTTTTTTCGAAACTTTTAAACATATTCTTAAGAAATTTATCATATTTATTAACTATGCAAATATTTCTAAATTTTAACATTTTTTCTCTAAACATAATGTCATCAGTGGAATGTATTAATTCATTTTCACAACAAATCATATTACTTATATATTCTCTTAATTTCATAGGGACACCTTGGCTATTTTTCAAAGAGATTGACAAATTTCTTCTCATGTGAAGAGTACATAATAAATGTTTGGAAGTATTAAAATTTTTAAGTAAAGCCGATACCATGGCAAATTCTTCTTCCGATCCGAAAATAATATTATCCACATTAATTTGATGCTTTTTAAAAATAACCTGTACTTCAGAAAAAAATATATTATATGTCCGGTAGTCTGAATTACCGTGCAAAAATATTGGACCGAAAAATAATGGATGTAATTTATCTTACAAACCTGTTTTACAAAGAGCTATATGCTTGAACGCAGTAGGCGTCACAAAGAGTTCGCTTAAATTGTAGGTTTTATCAACGCTAAGAATACTTCGTTACTTACCCGTACAACAAAATTTAATATTTTCAAGCAAAAGGAGTATAAAGCTCTATAGTTATAACTTTATCAGGTCGTATACATATATTTTTGACTATCGGATAATCTTTTATATTGCTTAAAATTAACAAAACCTGTTCTGCAAAATTCCTACTATAATCGGTATCATTTTTGTGTAATTCGTTAAATTTTAAGTTTCGTATTTGTTTTGTATTTCTAGGTATATTATATATATCTTTTGAAACTATAAATTCCATGTATATTTTTCTAGTAGGTTTATCTATAACATATTTTTTAATTTTCTTTATAACACTAGGTGGTACGAATATATATAATATTATCATATTTCCTATTTACATGTTAGTTTGCCAGGATATATTCCTATGTATTCTACTAAGAAATTAGGTTCTATTTTTAAAGAACTTTCATCTTGCAATATCTTCAAATATGATGCTTTTTTTCTATATTTTAAATTAATGTACAACTATATTGACTTAAGCAAACTACATTATTCAAATTTGGTTGAGGGCTTATTGTACATATATGATTGGAACTATGTATTTTTCTTAGTATATAAAATACTGTGTCTATCATTATATATGGACCTTTTCTTTGGTCATTCTCTAAATCAAAATAAGGGTTACTGCCTCCCGTTTTTTTACCTGTCAATGCTCCACAATCATGTGGGAAACAACTTTTTAAACCATCCTTTTTAAATTAATACTATTGTTTACAATAAAAAAAGTATTATTTTTAGTCCTTTGTGGAATAGTTTCTACAATATTTTCTGGTTTCAACAACATGTTCAATAGTTCTGTAAATGTGAAACCTTTACAATGATTCTTATTTTATATTACATTATCAGTATATTTATCATCTATGGCATCGTGCTTTATTTTATTATTAACCTTCATATCTTCAAAAGACTTATTTAATAATTTATCTTTTTCATGTAAAGATTTAGAAACCGAATATTTCATATCTTAATTTGTCATATCGGATATATTAGCGGTAAAAGCCATTCGTAGTTTACTCATTATATTTTAACATTATATAGTGCAATTCACACTTTTTAGTCATATTATTTTAACACTCATTACGGCAATTTGTAGTTTAATCATTTTAATTTAACAATAATTACCACAATTCGTAGATTATTTTAACATTAAAACGGCAATTCGTAGTTTAGTCATTTTATTTTAACATTAAATGCGGGAATTTGTAGTTTAGTCATTTTAATTTAACATTAAATACGGCAATTCATAGTTTAGTCATATTAATTTAACATAAGATGCAGCAATTTCAGTTTAGTCATTCTAATTAAAGATTAATTACCACAATTCGTAGTTTAGTCATAATATTTTAACATTATATACGGCAATTCGTAGTTTAGTCACTTTATTTTAACATTAAATACGGCAATTCGTACTTTAAATATAATATTATATACGGCAATTTGTAGTTTAGTCATTTTAATTTAACATTATTTACCGCAATTCGTAGTTTAGTCATTATAATTTAACATTATATACGGCAATTCGTAGTTAAGTCACTTTATTTTAACATTAAATATGGCAATTAGTTTAATTTAACATTATATATGGCAATTCGTAGTTTAGTCATTTTAATTTAACATAATTTACAGCAATTCGTAGTTTGGTCATTATAATTTAACATTATATACGGCAATTCTCAGTTTTGTACGGCAATTCGTAGCTTAGTCACTTTATTTTAACATTAAATACGGCAATTCGTAGTTTTAATTTAACATTATATACGGCAATTCGTATTTTAGTCATTTTATTTTAACATTATTTACAGCAATTCGTAGTTTAGTCACATTATTTTAACACTATTACAGCAATTTGTAGTTTAGTCATTTTAATTAACATTAATTACCGCAATTCGTAGTTTAGTAAGTTTATTTTAACATTAAAACGCCAATTCGTAGTTTAGTCACTTAATTTTAAAATTAAATACGCCAATTCGTAGTTTAATTTAACATTATATACGGCTATTCGTATTTTAGTCATTATATTATATACCGCAATTCATAGTTTAGTCATTATACATTAACATTATATTTGGCAATTCGCTCTTTTGTCATTATAATTTAACATTAGTTACCACAATTCGTAGTTTAATCATTTTAATTTAAAATGCGGCAATTCGTAGTTAGTCACTTTATTTTAACATTAAATACGGCAATTCGTAGTTTAAATTTAACATTATATACGGCTATTCGTATTTTAGTCATTTTAATTTAACATTATTTACCGCAATTCGTAGTTTAGTCACATTATTTTAACACTATACAGCAATTTGTAGTTTAGACATTTTAATTTAACATTAATTACAGCAATTCGTAGTTTAGTCAGTTTATTTTAACATTAAATACACCAATTCGTAGTTTAAATTTAACATTAATACAGCCATTCGTATTTTAGTCATTTTAATTATACATTATTTACCTCAATTCGTAGTTTAGTAACATTATTTTAACTTTAAATACGGCAATTCGTAGTTTAGTCATTTTAATTTAACATTAAATACGGCAATTCATAGTTTAGTCACTTTAATTTAACATTAAATACGGTAATTCGTAGTTTAAATTTAACATTATATACGGCAATTATAGTTTAGTCATTTTAATTCAACAATATTTATCGCAATTCGTAGTTTAGTCATTATAATATAACATTATTGTTGTATTATAATAAATATTTATTTATTATATAAAAAATAATTGATAAAAAATAATATTAAAGAGAAATATATATTATTTTGTAAAAATCGGCGTTGATTATTGATTATTATGTTTTGTTTAAAATCGTGAAAAATATATATAATAAAGAAAAATAAAAGTGTTAAAAATATTTTCGTATTTGACTCTACTACTTCGTACAGTTTTCTAATAGTGGTGCCGTGAATATTTAAAGATACCTACTTTATAAAAAGGTTAGGTGGAAAACCATTGACTACCATTATATAGATTAAAGGCCAAAAAGTATTAAAAAAAAAAAAATTCAAAAAAAAAGGTAAAAATATTTATTTAGATATATTTAAATGAATTGTTTTTTATTTATATTGATAATTATAGCTTTATGTTTAATTTTTTCTTTTAGAATAGTTAAAATTTTTTTAGTAAAAGTTGATAAGTCTACTTTAATATAAAAAATTGAAAGAAAAAGAAAAACAGTTAAAAAATATTTAAAAAAAAAAATTTTTTTTTGATAAAATGTGGAATAAAAAATTATTACCACGAAAAATTATTTTGAATTCAAAGAATTGAGACAAGGAGAGATATATGTAAGTTTAATGGTAATAATAGTGTTATGGATGGGGGGATATTTATGGTATAAAAGAAATAGAAATAAAGAAGCGAATAGAATAAGGTATTTAAAACTAATTGAACAAGAAAATAAAGAAATGGAAATTGAAAATAAAAAAAAAAAAATGATGAAATTAAAAAAATAGAACAAAAAAAAAAGGAAATGGAAATTGAAAATAAAAAAAAGAAAGAAATTGAAAGAATAGAACAAGAAAAAAAAGATATAGAATTTGAAAAGTTGAAAATGGAAATGACAGAAATTAAAAGAATAGAACAAGAAAAAAAAGAAATAGGAATTGAAAATAAGAAAAAAGAATATGAAAGGGAAATTGAAAGAATAGAAGAAAATAAAATTGAGAAATTGAAAGGAGAAATGAAAATAGAATGGGAAGAGGAAAGGAATAAAATAGAAGAAATGGCCATAAAGGAAAGAGAAGAAAAGGAAAAGATTGAATTAAAGAAAAAAGAAGAGGAAATACAGAAAATAGAAATGGCAGAAATGAAAATAAAAATAAAGGAGTTGGAGGAGAAAATTGTAAATAAAAGAATAGAACAAAATTATAAAGGTCAAAAAGAATGTTATAATTGTGGAAAATTTGGGCATTTAAAAAGAGAATGTAATGCCAGGGTAAATCCAGGAGTTATACCAAAGATATGTAAAAGATGTGGAAATAAGGGTCATAATGCGGAAGAATGTTACGTTCCAGCGTACAAATTAGTGAATGGGAACCAAAAAAATGAAATATATTGTGAAAATTGTGGGAATTTAGGACATACTAAGGATAAGTGTTATAAAAATGAACAAGGTGTTTGCAAAGCGTTTCCAGCGGTGGAATACGTAGGAAATGAGCAGAAAAATATAGTTAAAAGAATTAATAGAGAGGATATAACTTGTTATAAGTGTCGAAATATTGGGCATTATGCGAAGGATTGTACAGTAGGATGACTGTATGATAGTGAAATAAAAACATTTGGAAGAGTTACATCAAAAAATGAGTTGGATCTATTAAAAGAAAATATATATAAAAATAAGATAAACGATCATATTGAAATAGTAAGAAAAAATGAAGGAAATAATAACACTTATAGGATTTATAAAAATATGTTGGAAAATGAAACACGAAAGAATACACATATTAGTAATTTACCTATCTTTAAGTTGGAAGATAATAAAAATTTTGATCAATGTCCCAGAGTAAAAGTGAATGTAGGAAATAAAGAGATTTGGATGTTATTGGATACAGGGGCAACAATATCTGTGATAGGGTATAAAGAATTTTACAAGTTATGGCCGAATGAACACATAATTAAAGATAGAATGAGGGTAAAACAATTGAATGGTTCAGAAATTATGGCATTGGGAAAAGTAAATTTACCGGTATTAATAAATAATGAATTAATAAATTTGGATTTGTGGGTATTAGAAGAAAAAATTGATACAGTTTTGGGATGGAATTGGATATCAAAATTTGGTTTAGAAAATATTTTGTTGAATATATTTCAGGGGAAAAATGAAAATAAAAATATTGAAGTATTAAAAAAATCTGTAAAAGAGGTGGATGTTAAAAACTCGGGTAATAAATTAAAGAAAGAAATTTTAGAGAATAATAAAATTGAGATGATAAATAATAAAAAAAAATTTTGGATAATAAAGAAAATGAATTTGTGGAAAGTAAAATACTAAAAGATGATGAAATTAAAAATATATTAAATAATTCTGAGGAAGTTCAGAAAAATGAAAAAATTATAAGTGATAAAATGGGTCAGGAAAAACTTGATATTTTGGATAATAAAATTGATATAAGTTTAATACCTGAACCTGATACGGAAATTAAAAAAAATATTGATTTGGAAATTGAAAATATTTAGGTTGATTTGGAAGTTGATAATATTTTGAAAAATTCAGAAATTAAGAAAAATAGTGATTTGGAAATTGAAAATATTTCGGTTGATCTGAAAGTGGAAAGTATTTTGGGAATTGATGATGAAAATTTTAATTTGGAAATAGACAATAAAATAATTTCAGGGAAATTGAGGATGGTGAATAATTATATAAAATGTGATGAGATTTACAAAGACTCAAATTTGGAGAGGGAAAAATTACCTGTATCGAAAAATTTTCCGGTGAAATTTGTGAGAAAAAAATTAAAAAATGAAAGTGTGGTAGAAGAAGGAGAAGAGAATTTGGTTCTACTAAGGAATTATATGATTGATTTAAGGAATAAGTATAAAAATTTATTTGATGAAAAATTGGGTTGCTTCATAGATTATAAGGTTGATATTTGTTTAAAAGAGAGTGGAGGATAATAAAGGAGGTCAAAAAGTATTTTTTACAAAAAAGGGTATGAAAATGTAGTTTAAAAAAAAAGGGGGAATGAAAGAATTAAAGGAAAAATTTAAGAATATGTATATAAGGAATATAAACACTAATTATCTGAGGGAATTGTAGAATTGGATTAATGTTATTGTCAATGAGAAAATTGTAAAAAAAAAATAGATGCACACGTGCAGTTGTTTTATTTTTTTAAAAATGTTATAGTAATAAAATCATGAAGTAAAATATGTGGGTCAATTGATTATGGTATTAGTTGTATTGAAGTTTAACGTGTTTTATTTTTTTGATTATTTATGATAAAAGGTTGGGAAGATAAAATATTTATCTGAGTTCGGATTGTTTGTTAAAATTGTTGGCTTTAAAAAGTAATTAATTATTAAAGAATTAAGAAGTAAAAATTTATAAAATGTGAGCGGTATTGAGAAGAGAAGAAACGTAAATTGTGGAAAAGCAACTGGAGTGAAATAGAGAAATCATTTAAAATATAAGGATAAGAGAATAAAGGAATAATAAAATGAAAATAATAATGTTGTTGTTTTGCGTAATAGTTCATTATGTAAAAAAAAAAGAAAGAGAATAAAAAATAATAAAATGAAAATAATAAGGTTGTTGTTTGGTGTAATGGTTCATTATAAAAAAAAGAAGAAAGAGAATAAAAAATAATAAAATGAAAATAATAAGGTTGTTGTTTGGGTAAGGGTTCATTATGTAAAAAAAATGATAAAGCGATTAAAAAAAAAAAAATTTGACTTACTTATTTTGTGTAATATTCTGTGTAATCAACTCAATAAAGTACAATGATGCAATAGATCTATGATATATTGACCATTAAAAGTTATTGATAATCAATAATGCTGGATAAAGATACCAAGTTTAAAATAGAATGATCATGACTGACCAATGATGCAATGAATAGATCAAGCTATGACTTATTAACCAGGATAATTTTTGATAACAACCAAAACAATCTATCAACGATATGAAGTTCCGCTCAATGTCAATATCAAGATAATTTCAATGATGAGAAGCAAAACAATCTATCAGCGATATGAAGCTTAGCTCAATGTCGATATCAAGTGAATTTTAATGATGCGAAGTTTTGAATCAATAGAATCTAAAAAAAAAAATATTCTTAAATTATAGTTATGGTTAAATGTGGCATTTAGTACCTTGAAAAGGGGTACATGTTGTATTATAATAAATATTTATTTATTAATAAAAAATAATTGATAAAAAATAATATTAAAGAGAAATATATATTATTTTGTAAAAATCGGCGTTGATTATTGTATGTTTTGTTTAAAATCGTGAAAAATCTATATAATTTTGAAAAATAAAAGTGTTAAAAATATTTTCGTATTTAACTCTACTACTTCGTACAGTTTTCTAATAATTAAATACGGCAATTCGTAGTTAAGTCACTTTATTTTAACATTAAATATGGCAATTCGTAGTTTAAATTTAACATTATATATGCAATTCGTAGTTTAGTCATTTCAATTTAACATTATTTACCGCAATTCGTAGTTTAGTCACTTTATTTTAACATTAAATACGGCAATTCGTAGTTTAGTAAATTTATTTTAACATTAAATACGCCAATTCGTAGTTTAGTCACTTTATTTTAAAATTAAATACGCCAATTCGTAGTTTAAATTTAACTTATATACGGCTATTCGTATTTTAGTCATTTTAATTTTACATTATTTACCGCAATTCGTAGTTTAGTCATTATAATTTAACATTATATACGGCAATTCGTAGTTTAGTCACTATATTTTAACAAAATATGGCAATTCAGAGTTTAAATTTAACATTATATATGGCAATGCGTAGTTTAGTCATTTTAATTTAACATTATTTATGGCAATTCGTAGTTTAGTCATTATAATTTAACATTATATACGGCAATTAGCAGTTTTGTCATTATTATTTAACATTAGTTACCGCAATTCGTAGTTTAATCATTTTAATTTAACATTATATACGGCAATTCGTAGTTTAGTCACTTTATTTTAACATTAAATACGCCAATTCGTAGTTTAAATTTAACATTATATACGGCTATTCGTATCTTAGTCATTTTAATTATACCTTATTTACAGCAATTCGTAGTTTAGTAACATTATTTTAACAATAAATACGGCAATTCGTAGATAAGTCATTTTAATTTAACATTAAATACGGCAATTCGTAGTTTAATCACTTTAATTTAACATTAAATGCGGCAATTCGTAGTTTAAATTTAACATTATATACGGCAATTTGTAGTTTAGTCATTTTAATTTAACATTATTTATCGCAATTCGTAGTTTAGTCATTATAATTTAACATTATATACGGCAATTCGCAGTTTAGTCATTATAATTTAACATTAGTTACCTCAATTCGTAGTTTAATCATTTTAATTTAACATAATAATAGGGCAATTTGTAGTTTAGTCATTTTAATTTAATATAAAATACGGCAATTCGTAGTTTAGTCACTTAATTTTAAAATTAAATGCCGCAATTTGTAGTTTAGTCATTTTAATTTAACATTAAATACGGCATTTCGTAGTTTAGTCATTTTATTTTAACATTAAATACGGCAATTCGTAGTTTAAATTTAACATTATATACGGCTATTCGTATTTTAGTCATTTTAATTTAACATTATTTATCGCAAATCGTAGTTTAGTCACATTATTTTAACATTAAATACAGCAATTCGTAGTTTAGTCATTTTTATTTAATATTAAATACGGCAATTCGTAGTTTAGTCATCTTATTTTAACATTAAATACGGCAATTCGTAGTTTAGTCACTTTATTTTAACATTAAATAGGGAAATTAGTAGTTTAATCACTTCATTTTAACATTAAATACGGCAATTCGTAGTTTAAATTTAACATTATATACGGCAATTCGTATTTTAGTCATTTTAATTTAACATTATTTACTGCAATTCGTAGTTTAGTCACATTATTTTAACACTAATACATCAATTTGTAGTTTAGTCATTTTAATTTAACATTAATTACAGCAATTCGTAGTTTAGTCAGTTTATTTTAACATTAAATACGCCAATTCGCAGTTTAAATTTAACATTATATACGGCTATTCGTATTTTAGTCATTTTAATTATACATTATTTACCTCAATTCGTATCTTTAGTAACATTATTTCAACCAGGGTTGGTAAGTCGGTCTATTGACCAGTCAAATTCAGTCACTTGACCCGATTTAAGATCTAAGATATCAGGAAAATTGTTTAAAAAATATTAAAGAAAATGATAATATTGAATATGAATCAGAACAAGACTCTGATACAGATAGCTATACGTTAGTTATTGAATGAATTTAAAAAATTAATATTATAGATTCATTTTACTATTATATTCAAAATAAAGTGAATATTAACTTAAAAAAATATATATTTGAATTTGACCACATTTGACCATATTTGACCGGTCAAATATCGGTCAATTGACCGAAACGTATTTGACCGGTCAAATGCACAACCCTGATTTTAACATTAAATACAGCAATTCGTAGTTTAGACATTTTAATTTAACATTAAATACGGCAATTCATAGTTAAATCACTTTAATTTAACATTAAATACGGCAAT